GCTGTCCGCCAGCGGCCGGGCCGCCATGGCATCCGGCTGTCCGCCGCCCTTCGGTGACCCGGGGGAAATGAGGGAAGGCTTTTTGTGCCCCCTGTGCCTGAAGGACCTCCAGTCTTTCTATCAGCTTCAGTCGCACTACGAAGAAGAGCACTCCAGTGAGGACAGAGATGTCAAAGGACAGCTTAAAAGTAAGAGGCGTGACAGCTGTTTCAATGCGTTCACTTTTGCTGTGTAAAATTCCAAATGACAAAAGCTGCTTGTACTGTGAGGTCTCTCAAAATGTCTAAGAATATTAAAATACTAATCGAAGTGAGTTACAAGTGAGGTATGGGGTTCTATTTTTCTATAAATGACCTTAGGCCAAGGCATAATTTTTACGTTACTCCTGATGCTTTAGAATTTACTTATTGACAGTAGGCACTTTAAAGACATCACTCTTCAAATGTCTGATTTTATACATGATTTTTATTATTGTCCTTTTGTTTTAATCTGAAAACTCTGGTTTATACTGTAACCCAGATGAATTCCCAAGCATTACATGAAGACCTTACAGAATATGGGAACTCTCTGGTACTTGCCAGGTACCAATTCACTATTCCCTTGTTTTGACAGTAGATAAAACTCTAGTTGCAGTTAAAGTGTAAAGCTAAGGAGGGTTGTTGGTGGGAAAAGATTATGGGTGGTGGAGCTGGCAGTAGGTGCTGGGAGTGTCCCAGGGTTGTGCTGTGGATTACCAGCTTTTACTGGTGTTTGAAAAATCCCTTTGAATTCTGTTTAACTAAAATATTACACACACACACACACCCCCCCTTGCGTACACAGTATCATTTTACATTGAGAGAAAAATGTGCAAAACCTGGTGGTAATTCTGTGTGTTCCCTGTAAAAAATCTTTCTGGTTTTGTTTTATTATACTAGAGATAGTGTCCTGGCAGTCTTTTGATGATTATTAGTTCAAAAGTCTCTTTTTCTCAGTGAGAAGTTTGTGTTTTAAACAAGCCTATCTTAGGGGTAGCGCAGTTGAATATTTCATAAATCTTTAGGTTGCTGGCTACTTCTTGGCTTTTAGCACTGTGCTCTTCTTGGACAGTGAAGGTAGACTGGTCAGTACTGCAGTCATGTTCCCATCATGGGTACAGTGCTGTAATAGCTGAATCACAGATCCTTCCATGGAGTGTTTAAACCAGAACAACAATATGATTTTCATTGTGATAAAGGAATGAAAGCAACACCAACAACTTAGGCTTGGTAAGATTTCCCAGATGCTTCTTTTATTTAATACAGAACACCTGTATTTTGATTTTTTTCTGTCTTTAGTGTTCTTTTAATCCAAAATAGTGTATCGTGACTTCTCAGGCTGTCTTTCATTTGTGTTCTTGCATAAAGGATGTTGGTTTTGTCTGCTTACTTTCTGTCCTAGTTATTCATGTCAAGGTCCATCCAGTGAAGCTAATTCTAGAAGAATGAAGGCCAACAGAATCACCTGTTTAAATTACCTGGTTTAGGGACTAGTGTTCAAACTGTGCATCACAAGTGGTTGCACGACTTTGTGCTGAACTCCAGCTATCCTAACTGTGGAGTTCCAGAAATGCTTACAAATCACCTTATTACTTCAGTTGAGTCATACTGAGGTGGTTAAGTTTGACTTCATGGCAAACAAGGTTATGAAGTTTGCTTGAAAAGTTTTTGTGTCTGTGGCAAAGCTATGAGGCATCCCTACTATTTTTTTTTTTAGTATGTCAGACTTTAAAAGTCCCAAGTGCAAATATAGTTCCTATTTAGAAAGTGTAAACTTCACTTAAGAAACTGCAGTGTCTAGCTGGCATTTGCTACGCTGGCTTAAGAGTAGGCGAGGGGAGGAGAAATCCTGTTTCTCAAGAGATGTTACAATGCTAGCAAAGCCATTGCCGACCTGACACAGTTTTGTGGAAAAGTGCGGTTTATATCACTGAGTGTCATTTTGGGAGGCAGCTGAAAAACTACTAGGAAGTATGATGTCTACATGAGGGGCCTGCTGCCACAGCCCTAGTGGCTGAAGCTTGGGGGTGACAGACTCCAGTGAGGTCAAGGTGGAAGTTCCAGTGTTTTGGACATTAAATAAGAAAATTAGAAATATGAGAGGACATACTAACTCATGGTTCCCAGTACCTTGTTAGAAAGCTTGATGTATAAAAGATCTAGTTCAAGGAGATACTGAATGTGTTTGGCAAGAAAGGTAGTGACCTCAACTTCTGCTAGCATCCGGAGAGGAACATAGCTGCAAGGACAATAAAAGCTCTAAAGTTTCAAGTTCCTGGTCCAGGAGACTGCCTTCCTCTCACTAGCATTCATATGAGATAATGAAGTGGGCTGTTTAGTACTTTTGAAATTATTTAGGTGTACAAACACACTGAAATTCTTAGTTTGTAGTTTGTGCAACAAGACAAAGCGTTGAACATCCTTGAATCCTAAGACAATCATTGGGAATTAAGAGAATTAAGATATTATCTATATGATGTCCCAGAATGCTGTGAAAGGGATCCCACAGTTTAAGACAGCTTACTGTCAAGTTCCTGAATGGAGTGTCTAAAACTACTGTTTTGCCATTAGGACCTTAGTGCTACTTTATGACAGATAACAAAGAGCATTTCATGTCATGTGTGATTCTCTGAACTGCATTCTGGTTCTAAACAGAACATGTTGAGGATACACTTGTCATCAAGGAAAAAGATTTGTGCTAAAAGATGAGGAATATTCCATACTGGTTTCATGTGACAAATATTCAGTGACTGCCTGCCACATTTGATAACTTGGGTTTATCTTTTTCAGGTCTAGTCCAGAAGGCCAAAAGAGCAAAGAAGAAATTGCTGAAACGAGAAGATGACAGAACTGATTCTGGATCTCAGGAACGATACGAGTCATTCAGCTATGGTGGAGTAGATCCATACATGTGGGAGCCCCAGGAAGTAGGTAGGAAAGCTAGAAGGTGATAAACAGTGGGGATAACTGTTCTTTTAATTGTGAAAGTGCTTCAGTATTGTTGAAGTTGCATGGAATTGTGTCTGTATTGCATTTGACTCACTGTAGCACAGAGTTATTGTTTGCATATTGATTTTTGTGCAGTCTGCCTACTGCAGACTGTGGGGTGATAGGGAAGTGCAGATAATGGGGACAGGGGTGGGGGGAAGTATAGAATCAGTACCCCAACTAACCTGGAGAGCAGGATAGTTGTTTGTCATCTCATTGTGCCTGAGCTGTTGAGGCCTGCTGGATATGTGTTTACCTATGTGTATCTAGTTTCATTGAGATGTTCTGCAACCATCTTGTGGCTTTTTATAAAACAAGTAATCCACTAATTCATAACTAAGCTATAGCTATATAAAATTTCCAGCTTTTGGGCTACACTTAAAGTAGTTGCTACTTTACATGTCTGACAAAAAGCTTGTCCATTGATTTAAAGTCTTTCAGCTTTTCCCTTGGATTTGAGGTGTAGATCATCTCTCATTAAAAAGAGGATGACTTGAAAAAAAAAAAAAAACAAAAAGGCAAAAAACCACAATACAACAACAAAAAAAACAGTCCCAAACCCACCCCTCTGAATATAAATCTACATTTGTAGAATTTCAAGGATAAGTTCACTGAGCGTGTAATTACAAATACTTCTACTGGAAATTGCCTCTTGCTATTACTGAAATATTATGGTTATTTTCAGGGGGAGGAAGCAGCACTATCTCTGGTGGATCCTGGGAAAGTTTCCTCTGTGCTGCTGACTAGCACTTAGTCCTTTGCATCTGCAGAGTCCGAGTTCTGTAGATTATTATACTTTTGTCTTTGTAACTATTTCAGCAGCAATCATACTATGAATATTAGCTAAGAATAAATTTAGGCAGTGAACTAACAGAAGATTTCTGAACAGCAGAGAAGTGAGAACTGTTTTCTGATCAGAGTGGAGATGATGAACCTTATGGATTTTAGGGCAGGATTTGGTGGGATTATGAAAAGGACTGTGTGATGTCTCTAAAGCAGTGGCTGAATTCATTTACTCAGAGGGGCCTTTTCATTCCTCTGAATTCAGCTTTGGAGAGTTTTTTGGTTATTTCATTAGGACGAGGAAGTGAGATTCTTACACTTACATAGGTAGTATCAAAAAGCAACATCTGATTTTTGTGTTATATCAGTCAGAAGAAAGATTTATTTATTTTTTTTTTATTTTGTCTGTAACTTTGATTTTTAATACCTGGCTCATCTTACTCAGAAAAGGATAAAAACTTGAAACCAACACTGTCAAGTATGAATTGTATGTTTCTGAAATAGATGCTATATCGTTCTTTTATATACTTGGTCATCAGTTTTCTGTAAATCTGAATCTGTCATCAAGGATTTGATTCAGACTCCTAAAGGTGGAAGGATGATCAGAAGTCTGAAAGAGAAATTGCTGTTGCATAGACCTCCAGTAATCATTGGACCTGCCTCTTCCCTTTGTTCAACATGTAGTGAGGAAACTAAAGGGAGTTAGTTTTGAGAGTACTACTAGCTGATAATAGCTTGCCAAATGTAACTGAGGGATGAAGAGGGTTGCAGATGTTTTCTTTAACGTAGTGCCTGTTGTTTTCTGTAGTAGTTATAAAACACTGTTTATTGCTAGCCTGGAGATTAGGTTTTAACCTGCATGTTTTATTTAGAACACCACCATGAAACCAGGATTCTAATGTGTCTTTAAAATTCGATTCGAACATGAGAAATAAATGGTGAAAATAAGTTACAGCTGTCTTTCAAGAGGCATTTAAATCTATACAGAACACCTGGGTGACTATGAAAACTTTCTGCTATCTCTCCAGGTGCTATGAGAAGCCATCTTTCTGATTTCAAGAAACACCGAGCAGCCAGGATTGATCACTATGTAGTTGAAGTCAATAAGTTAATAATCAGGTTAGAAAAGGTAAATTTGCTGCTTTTTTAATATTTCAGCCTTCTGAATGTTTCCTAGATTAAAAAACCCCATATTTTAGTATGAAGTGTACCCATTTATCTAGCAGTGCACTTTTTATAAAGGATACTAAACTTATGTTCTCTTCACACATTACTGTTTTCCTTTTTTATCCTTGATTATTGTGCTTGGTCTGACCCTGTGTACTGTGGATATGATTTCTGTTTCTATGCACTATTTTTAAGCTGAAGATGCTACTTCCACATGCTTCAAAACCTATCTGTTTTCCTCTATATTTTCTTAATCTTTTCCTTTAGTAAAGTTCTCCCTAATGTTTTTGTCATGATTCTTCCAGCTTCTCATTCTTCAGAATCTACCAATGATATACTTAGATTTTGGCTCAGATGCAGTAATGTTGGATACTGTAAGGATTATGTCCAAAATGCTGTGATTGGTGCAGGTTTAGCAGTCATTGTTTAGCACTGCTTATATGAATATGGCATTAGAAATAAATAGGGAAGTTGCAGGAATCTGATGTAAAACAGGCTGAGACTCCTATCTCTTAAAAATGCCAGGTTTCTTTTTCTTGTTGTGCTGGGTTTTTCCTTGCAAAAGTACAATTTTCTTGAATGTATTGTTTATCTTCTAGCTTACATCGTTTGACAGAGCAAACACTGAGTCAGCTAAAATAAGAGGTTGGTATGAGCTTACCTCAGACTATTTGCTCCTATAGTTTAGCAAGCTGAGCAATTAATTGAATTAACATCTTGTGTTGTATTTATTCCTTCCCCTCTTGACCAATCACAGCTATAGAGAAGTCTGTTGTGCCTTGGGTCAGTGATCAGGATGTTCCATTCTGCCCGGACTGTGGCAATAAGTTCAGTATTCGAAACCGACGTCACCACTGCCGCCTTTGTGGGTCTATTATGTGCAAGAAGTGTATGGAACTTGTCAGTCTTCCTTTGGCAAGTAAGTACAGTGTGTGGTGTTAATTCCTCCTTTCCTTAGCTCACTCAAGGTGCTAACTGCATTCTGGCTTTTTGCCATTAGAAAAAAAGCTGCTGGTAATATTTCACCTATAAAGAAAACTTCGTCCTTAACATGTCCTTCAGTTCCATGCAGATGCTTTGCAGTGAAACAAAGTAAGAAGAATGATTTCTCCCTTCTTTGTTTCTGTTCTTTCTTCAGATTTGGAAGTGTTATGTAACGCTGAAAAAGTTACTAGAAGTAGTAGTATATATACTAGTAAATATGATTAACATTTAGTGTCTTATTCTACTGTGTACCCTAACTATGAAGGTATTAACTTTGGGAATTAAAACTACCAAGGTTCTTGACATTTAAAACTGTTGTGGATATTTCCAGTCTTGCCCATGATTGTCCAAATGCTGACATTAAGGAAATTAATCCACAAGCCTTTAAGAAACCCTTCAAACTTTAATTTCCTCATCTAGTGCATTGGAGAGGAGACCATATTTTCTGTGGAAATAAATTACATTAACTGGTTTTTTTTAGTGTTCAAGCACAAAACATGAACAGCATTAATGTACCTATTCTTCCATACACTATTCTATAACTATGCAAGCTCCAACATGAGAATGCTTCTAGGCATGCGCAAAGTAGGTGGTTCTCAGCAGTCTGCTCTCTAGCTCCTTTTAGAATGGAGCAAGACTTGTTATGAGTTCCTTGCATGTCTTTCAGCAGACTGTTTCAACTTGGTTTTCTAATATTACCTGAATGTAAAATTTCTGTTAAAGTGCAATTCATTTGTGTTGGTAAAATCTTTTGTCTTCTCTGGTCACTGTAAAATTACCTGTATATACTTTTTAGGCAAACTCACTAGTGCCAGCAGAGAGGCCTTGGGTTCTCATACTAGCCCTAACTCCTCACCTAATAGTGTCCATGGCTCCCGCCGTGGTAGCATTAGCAGCATAAGCAGCGTAAGCTCAGTTCTGGATGAGAAGGATGATGACCGAATCCGTTGTTGTCGGCACTGCAAAGATACCCTGTTGAAAAGAGAACAACAGATTGATGAGAAAGAATACACTCCAGAGATTGTGAAACTCTATGAGGTAAATCAAACCTTTGCTGCTTTCATCCTCACATCTGCAGTTGTCACTACTTGACTTTTGGCTTCTTGTCTCATGTCCAAGCTCTTACTTTATGACTTAATACTCACTTGTGTTAGGATAGACTCTGCTGGTGTCCCGATCCAATATCGGGGAGGTTTCGATACGATCCCAAGAGCAAGATTAAGACACAAACGAGGTCAAATGCCGTATACCAGAAACAGTTTTATTATGAAAAGAGTAAAAAAAAAAAAAAAAAAAAAAAAAAAGAGAAGGTAATGGTAACCGATAAGAGTGATAGGACAGGGTAGAAAAGAAAGGCAGAAAACCAAGCAAGACTCCGGGATAGGATCGCAAGAATAGTCACCGCCACGAGTCCACGGTGCCTCGGTGTGTGTGGGGGAGGGGTCCAAATCTCTCCTTCTGCGACGGCGGAGGAAGAAGCGGGTCCACAAAGTCTCGGAGGTCCGTCTCGGGAGAGTCCAAATCCCTTGCTGTGTGGCGGTGGGCGAAGGCGCACCATCCTCATCTTGGCGGTCCCCTTTTATACTCGTGGTCTTCACGATGGCACATACGACACGGCTTCCACATTCCTGCACACGCATACACACAATCTGACGCCGTGGCGCGTGATCTTGCAAGGCGTTTTTCGAAGATTGAAAGTCTCCATGACCTGGCAATCGTCCTGACGACCCGGCAATTGCCCTTATCGCACTCAGTAGTTGAAGGGGTTTCCCGCTTGAGCAAAGCGATCTTTGAGACAAAAGTCTTTCAGTCCGGTTTCTCACAGCTGGGTGTTTATGCCACGTAACAAAGGTATATCTGAAATGACGGAGCCAGTTGCTATATAGTTTCTATATCCTATGATAACTTCAAACATAATTTTAAGACACATCTTCATTTTCTAATAGTTCTGAGATGCCTCTCTCTTAAAATTGTGAACTATGTCTGCTGGGATTCCTCAGAACAATTCTTGTTTAAACCAATGATACACTTTGCGCTTTGTTGATGGGCTGCTTGTCGTCAGCACTGTTTGGCCTCGCGCTGGTGGCAAATGCTTTTTCGAACCATCTGTATCAATGAACAGTGTATGGCTGGAACATTGTGTTCAAATACACTTTGAAAGCAGGTACTGGCAATCATCAGGTATCTTTTCAGTAGAGTCCGCAAACCCCCCAGGTTAGTATTAATGGGAGTTTTTGTTGGTACTCTTTGTGAAGAGATTTAAAGTTAGAAGTTGTCCAAGTCATCCATTAAAACAGCTTCTGAATTCAAAATTCACCTTGCAGGGGTACAAGGAGTCTTTCTCTGTTCCTGAACATGCCATCTGTGTTCTGAAGATAACTGGAGGATCTTGTCATCCTAAATAGTTAAATGGCTTTCATCACAGTTAACTTTGAATGTGCACAGGCAGCACGAAAGGTTTATGTCAGCATGTTCTTGCATTAGTAATGTAATTTTAATGTAATTTTAATGTAAGGTTTTTTATACATTTTTTTTTTAAACAAGAAACTCCGACTCTGTATGGAGAAGGTTGACCAGAAGGCACCAGAATACATAAGGATGGCAGAATCACTAAAGTAAGCCCCATTTTGCTGATTTTGTTTATGAATATATGTATTTTTCCTCTCCAAAAGTGTGGGAAGGAGCAAGGAAGTGGCATGCTGAGGCTGCAAGAATGTGTAAATTTTAAGAAAAAGCAACGTTAGATTATCTGTTGTCTCTTGGATGCTATTCAAACAAAGTAGTACTGCATTAATTATTAATGGTAACATTGTATACAGAGAAGAAGTCTGATTTATTTTTTTTAAAGCCACTTCCCAGTGAGGTGCCACTGTCATATTTTGACGTGTTGTCTTTGCAAAAAGGAAGTACAAGGCTACAATTCTTGCGTAAATGAGCCTCTTCAGAATGGTTGAAGTAGAATATTGCTGCCCTCAGCTGGATGGTATGGCTTCCAGGTAGCACCAGCAGAAAGGATCCTTTGAATGCTTCTCATTTGTTCTTGTGTAAAGCGAGCCACTTTCAACTGACAGTTGTTCTAAATCTAGCTGGCCTGCCCTGTGCTGCAGTGGATTAGCAGCATTCACATATCACGCTTTTGCACATAATTTCTTGCGGCAGTATTCTCTCCCTGGGGTAACTTAAATCTCTCCAGCTATATCTGCAAGAAATTGTCAGGTTATACTTCTGGCTTGTATAGTAGAGAAATACACACATTGGTCTTAAGACTATGAAGCATGTCCATTTGGGAAGTTAAAATTAACAAATATTTCTTTACCTGTCCTTTAGATCTGATGATTGTAGAAGAATCAGGCTGTCGTTCATAGTTACAAAACTGGTTTTGTAAAAACACACCTCCCAAAAGGAAGGAAGAAGTATAGAAAGTGAAAAACATACTAAGCTGTTACTGCTTTTTGTCATGACTTAATGAGAGCTGGTGTTATGTGGCTTGACAACTCGACAGAAGTAAAAATATGAATGTCCTGGATAATGGAAGCACATCTCAGAAAAGAACAGACTTCTTACTGATGAAGTTAAAGATTTCTGGATAGTAGTGAGTCCCAGAAACTGGAATTATGTGGATAATGAAGTTGCTTTTGAGAGAGCGGTCCTTATTTTTTATATTTGTGATATAAAAGGAGAGGGAAGCTAAGAACTGGTCAAGAGTCTTCCTTGTTGAATCCTAATTTGTTCTAACAATAAATGTGAGATTCTAGTAAAGTGCATATAATTGATTGTGTCCCTGTGCGGACAGTCGGTTACTAGCATCTTAAATATATCGATGTGGAGTTGTAGGCTTTTGCTTTCTGACAAATGTTAGTAAAGATAACTATTTTACTTCAATGGTATAGTTCTTATTCAATCAATCAGTGTTTTTTCCACACCCAATCGCCTGGAAAAAAACCACAAAATATATGTATTTTCTAAGTATGTGTATATTTAGATATTATTGGTAGAGTGGCATTCTTGTGTTAAAATACAATTACTCCTATAATAGTAAATAATAATACAATCATAAATAAAATTATCTTTAATCATAAATAAAATTATCTTTAAAATTGTTCACAAGATGATTGTCATTTTCCACTTCTGTCACAAAGAAAGGGTTTTTAAAAACAATGAGCTTGATATATAAAATCATTCAACCCCTTTAGTGTTAGCTCTTCTTACCATTGTTGAGTCTTACTCATCTTGGGATTACTTCTAGTGTTGTATGTATTGTTATCTGGATGCATGACTTACAATAAAGTTGTATTTATTTCTCAGTGCTGGGGAGACAACCTACCACCTTGAACATGCTAATGACTTGAGGGTGGAGATTCAAAAAGTATACGAATTTATAGATGCCTTAAGGTAAAAGAAGATACCTCTCTTCCCACCCCTGCCAGCATGTGTGTATCTCCCTGTTATGACTTCTCTGTCGTTGTACTCAGCTGTTGGTGTCTATGTTTGTGTAGCGTATACCTGCTTATTTATATAATCAATTTGTCTACTCAGTTGTAAAGAGCACGTGATGCTGTTCCTGTGCACCATCAATTTCTACTTCCTTTTCCAACCTTAAAAATCATGCATTCCTCTGCAGTGGAAAGAACTAAACACAGAGGAAACAGATAGAAGCACCTTTCTTTTTATTTTTTTTCTTTTTTTTTTAAAGGTGGGGTGGGGATGGAAAGTGTTATGACTTGTAATATCCAAAATGGTATACCTAAGAGAACATCAGAAAACATTCATTCAGTATTGTCTCTATCCCCTTCTGTTGCATTTTTGCTGGCCCTTGTTTTTAAACTGATGAGGTTTTATGTTTGCTTTGATTCAGTAAGAAGATTTTGAGTCTAGGGTTGCATGAAGATCCCCAACCTCACCCTAAAACACTACAACTTCAGAGAATGATAAGATATTCAGCTACACTTTTTGTTCAGGTAAATGGAGCATATATTACATTTTTACATAATACATATTTACGTATTTACATAGGAATGTAAATTTTATATAGTGTTCTCTTCTTTGTCAGGCATCCCTGTGGTTTGAAATTATTTGGACAGGTTTAGTTCCATACGTTTTCTGTAGTTTATCTAATGACTTATGGTAGCCTTAAATGAGCTAGCTTGAATACAAACAGTTTAGTCAGAGCAGTATTCAGTTTAGGGACCTAAGAAAATGTGTGAATCTTGGCTTTGTCTCTTGCTGAGGCGTGAACCTAGCTAGCAGTATAGTTATGGCAGCAAAGATGTGCTGAGACTTACAGCAATGACTGCAGTGTAGAAGTACCTTTTATTTGTTTGTGGGGTGTTCTGTTGGTGGTATCTCTCTTTTCAAGTACTTGAAAATTGGATGAATGCCTGCAAGCAACACTGTAAATATTTCAATTTTTGCTAGGAAAAACTGCTTGGCCTAATGTCCCTGCCAACCAAAGATCAATATGAAGAGCTGAAGAAGAGAAGACTGCATATGGTAAGACAGGTTAAGATCTCTTACATCTTGTATCAGGGCCTCCTTCAAGGGCTTAAGCATAGTAGCTGTGTGTGTATGAAGAGTTGCCTTTAACATTGGATTTTGATTTTTCTTTTTTTTTAATGCAGGTAATTCCATAGCCTTTTTCAGGGATTCATGTAACACTGTCATTGTATTCTATCCAGAACATAAGTAGGTGTGTACTGAGCAGCAAACACTTCTAGAAAACAGCAGTGATTTGGTTGCACATGCTGTTTCTGCTATAGTGCATGCAGACCAAGCCCTAAATTAAGTATGTTAGTTTACATGGATTTTCAAATTGTGTTCTGGAGTTCACTTGCACAAGTAGAATTTGGAGACTTCTTTCGGTGATGAAAAAGGACCTATTAAAACAAGGATGCCTCTTCAGAGGGAGTGGGTTTTTTCAGTTAGGAGGGAGGACACCATTAATTGTAAACTAAACCAGCTTTATCTTGAGGTAGAAGTTGAGAAATAAGAATTGTTACACTCCAAAAGTGAATGATATCAGTGACTTCTAACACTGATGTTCTGTTACAGATGTCTGCTGTAGTCAGATGTGATATGGTTACAGTCCAAATCAATCTAGACCACTCTTTGCACAGTTGCATTAGGCATGTTTTTGCTCTATATAAAGCACTGTCACTGCTCCTACTTGCCCTCAAGTTTGTAGAGACAGATGTGTAATGGGTTTTTGATCAATATGGTCACAAACAAACTGAAGGAAAGCATTTAGGTAATATTATGAAAATAAGCATTTCCTCCAAAGTAACCAAAAGGGCAGCTGATCCTTTCAGTGACAGCTGGCAATGTCTAAGATCAGCTAACTTCTTGTACCTATGGATATTTAGAATGGAATTTTTCAAGCTCATGATGTTCTTTTACTACATGGTTTTTGTTTTAGGTGGCTCTCGAAACACATGGAAAACAAGAGGAACGGCAGAAAGACTTTATCTCCAGATCTGCAGCCGCAGTTAATGGTGATACAACTCACCTGAAAAAAGGAACAGTCAGGAAATCTGAAGGCTGGTTACCTACATCTAGCATATCAAGAGAAAGTGAGATAGCAGACCCACTTCTTCAGCAGATTGACAATATCACGTCCTTTATTAAGCAAGCAAAAGCAGCTAAGAGGATCGATGAGGTCCATATGTTGCAAGAGAACCTGAGGCAGCTTCAGGATGAATACGATCAGCAACAAACTCTGAAAGCTATTGAGCTTTCTAAAAAACAGGCAGAAGAGGAAGAGATGCAGAGGGAGGAACTTCAGGTCCTTCGTGAAAAGGAGTGGCAAAGAGAGCACCACAAATTTGTGTCTTGGCATTCAAGGACATGCTCCTTAGACTTCAGAGAAGTTAAGCAGCATCAGCACGAAGTGGCAAAAGAGAATCGGAACTTGACAGCACATGCATTGGATTTGGATATTACTCAGATCAAAGGGGACCCAAGTTTTGAAACTCCGACTGTTGAGCAGCTACCAGCTAAAGAGCACTTGATCTTCACACTCAAACCCCAGAATGTCCCACAATGTGACAAAGACCAAGATCAGACAGCCTGTCTAAACCCGTTTGAAGATGAAGCAGATACCCCTCAGTTAGAAGATCCCGCTAACCCATTTGCCAAAGACACTTCTTCAGTGGTTTCTTTCTGTAACACAGCTCTGCAAAGTGATAAGAAAGAATATAATCCATTTGAAAATGAGGAGGATGATGAACAAACCAATGGAGCACCTGGCAGTACTTCAAACCCTTTTGAAGAGGATGAAAATCCATTTCAAAAGTCTAGGGGCAGTTGGAATTCTGGGAATCCATTTGAAGAGGGATCCTCTACCAATCCCTTTGAAGTGGAAGATGGCAATGAGATCTCTGGAGAGGAGGCTATAGAGGAAGAGCTGCTTCTCCAACAGATAGATAATATCAAAGCTTATATATTTGATGCCAAACATAGTGGACGAATGGATGAGGTGGAGGTACTGACAGAGAACTTAAAAGAATTGAAGCGCACATTAGCAAAGCAGAAGGAGAAATCCAACTGCTGAAGCAGCAATAGGGCTATGTAATAATTATTTTAAGTCTGCTGTTAAATATGGGAAGATAGAGCAGATACTTATAAACGGGAGTAGAGATCACAAGAGGAAATCGGGAGAACGTGACTTTTATGCACTTTCAATTAGGCATTTCCACTACTACTCAGTCTTGAAGAAAGAATTATTGAGATGCTGTTGGTCTCAATAGCTTATACTAAGAAATTATTTTAAAATAACTTGTTACAACACTTTTAATGCTAACAGGTCTTACTGTGTGCTTATTTTGGTCAAAGTGGTTAAGTGCTAATAGGGAGCTATGATTTGGAAATGGTTGCAATGTTGGTTTGTCATCTTTCCCCCTTTCTGTTGTACTATTGGCTTTTGACTAGAAACAAAAACTGTTCTAAAACTTCCGCATCCTCTGATAATGACACAGTGCAGTGTTACAGGCTAGCTTAATTGCCTGATGGTGTTATGAGAAAGTGCTGTTAAAAGGCTACTGTGATTTTTTGAGATGCAGAATATACAGGCTTGCAGATCAATTTTGTGCAATGCTAATGCATAAAAGGGATTTTAAGACTGAGAAGAACTTTATAACTGATCTCAATATGAGTAACTTTTTAATGTTTATAAAAATTCCCACGTAAAATTTGGGTGCTGTCTTTTCATCACTTTTAGTTTTCCATTTGCTCTGAGCACAAACTACAGTGTAATGGAGCGTGCCATGCTGGCTTCAGAGACCTGCTTGTGTGGGAACAAGTATCTACTCATTTCCAGGGAAAAGAGCATCAGGCTAGCACCATTTCAAACTATACTATAAAGGGTGACCCTCCAATTCTTAATTATCTTATGGAATCTGCACATTTCTTTAAATTCTCTGGGTGACAGAATGATCATGTTGTATTTGTGAGACTGGAACCCTCTTTTTGTAGCATTCAAGGAACAAAAATCTTGTTTACAATGCAGAGATGAAGTGCTACTGAACTGGAATTCTGTGAAAGCTGGGAGGCAAAGTCTGTGGCTACTATGGTGCCAAATAGCAATTCTCTTTCATATTCGATTCCCCTCAGAAGTTGTTACGAAAGTCAGGCATGTCTGTCTTAAGAAGCTCCAAACTGGAGTTGTTCTGCTGTGTGTGGGATGACTGGGTGATGATGGCCAGGACCTGTGATGCAGGAGGGCTTAGAGTTGGGCTTCTGAAGATTGATATCAGAAATGTAGGATCACTTCAGGGTTAGGTCAGCCTGTATCTTGTGAAAGATGGAGCCTGAGCTGCTTTGATTCTTATCTTTGAAAGGCAGAGACCCATCATCAGGCATCAGTGTTTGAAAGGGTGGTGGGGAGGAGTTAGTCTAAAGGGTGTATTTATTTAAAGCTGAAATAGAGGAAAATCTGGCAGATCACACTGTATAGCACTAATAATAGTGGGCTTACTCAGAACTGTAAACTTTTATGGAATGAGTCATGTCTTTTAACTGTGTCTCTGATAATATATATTAGCATAGCTGTAACCCAAGCATTGCATTCCTATTTTAGGGACACAAATAATTATGCTACCTAAAGAGCAGGAACTCTAGCTTTATTTTGCTGTAAATAAGTGGAGGTAGGGACTTGTTCAAAACACCTAAATCACCTATATCCTCACTTAATAGCACTACATCAAAATAATTTAGAGCAGCCAGTTAAGGACAGTTGATGTTCTTGTTACTATAGCCTAAATCTGAAGCTGAAAGGTGTGCAGAACAGGTTGTCCTAAGACTATGAAGTTTTTATACTGCAAAGTTTTATTAGAGTTGATTGAGCCCGAGTGTTATTTTGCACTAAGTGAAAGAACAGAGGATTGTGAAAGGTCGTAAACTAACAAAACATCTGCACTGTGGCAGCAGATTTACAAAGGCAGGAAACAAAAAAAAAAAGCGCTAAACATAATCCCTAGAATTGTTTTAACAGAAATAATGTAAGATAGTTATTTAAGACACACTTGTTTGCTAGTCAGTAGGACTGGTCCCTGCACTGTAACCCAAACCTTTTTTTGGTATCAACATGAAAAAAATGTTTCAGCGGCTTCAGCTTTCACATTTTAAGTGGTTTTTTTCCTTGTTGCAACTATCCTGCCTTGTTTATATTTTCTAATACACTAATAATTAAATTATCATTACTGTACATGTAATAATGTATTTTTACAAGCAGATAACAGACTAGCATTACCTCATGGTCTTTGTCAGTTGTTAAATGTGATAGTCATTTCCAAAGTGAAGACCTTATGCTGGTATGTGGACTGCTGTGAGGCTCACAAGGCACAATGGAATGACAACATGTTAACCATAAAGCTCAAAAAATAATTAGTGTTGACTTTCGTTAAAACTGCATGCTCTACTCTGTATGGAAACTTTGGAAACAGATTAAATAAACCAACATGTTTATTTTGTGCTGTGTTTGTCCTTGACAATTTTTACAGGATGCTTGAATCAGTGTGAAATTTTGTACTTGACCGTTAGCTCAGAAATGCTGAAATACAGTTCTACAGTAATTTCTGTATATAAGCCGGACTTAAAAGGTATGTGCAATTACCAAATTCCAAGCAATATAATACAATCATATGTTTATATGCTATTATAGATACAGTGTAATTGTTTGGTGAGGCAGAAGCTGTGATGATTTAGGGTCTTTTTGACCATGTGCAGGGAACAGGAGTGTTTGAGGTAAGAGGAGTTATACAGCAGCACTGGACTTTAAAGCATAATGGACTTGCTGGCTAGAATTTGATGGAAGTTGATAAATCTAGACACAGTTCTCCTTTGTATGGCTTTTTTTTTTTTTAAAGGAAGACTGTTTAGGAAATTGTCATAGGAGTAGTCTTAAATACCTTTATTGGCCTTCAAAAGAAATTGTAAAGCTTATCTTTAGAATAACAACTTACATGTTCTTTCCTGCTTATATTCTTCATCAGTGCTTCTCAGAGCTGCAGTATCAACTGCAAAAGTTGTATCTTGCTGTAAATGAGACTTTTAACTGTTTCTGTTAACTACATAAATTAAGAAAACTCTGCATGTAGTTTGAGCCTGGAGTTACGTTATCATTTGGCTGTCTTCAGGGAATCATCAGGAACATATTTACACCACTTTCTATAAATTGTGGAATTCTGTGCTGCTTCTAAGATAAATTAACTTTTTAGTCTAGTCTCTCTATCCTAAGGCAAACATGATCTTGTTTTTGCCATAACCTTATACATGCAGGCATGAGTAGGAAATAGGGTGCGAGTCATTCTGTTTTCCTTGCTGTTCTGTTTTCCTTTTATGCAGTGTTGACTGTAACGCTTTGTAAAACTGGCACCAAAAAAGCTGGGGTTTTAACTTTTATTTTTCACTTTAATTATTCTAGGTGTAGATGTAAGAAGACTTACGAGACAAGGTTGTCTGTATGATATGAACTTGCTTGTTCTGTTTCTAGGAGCTGTTAGCTCTTGCTTCTCACTGAAGTACCTTGATCATCCAGCACTCAGGAAAAACAACTGCATGACTTGAGATGTCAGGCTGATGCTTCGCTTTTCAGAGCAGCTTTAAATTTTCCCCTCATCTCTTTGGGCAGTGGCACAAAAGCAGGGCAGGGAACTTGGCCTTCAATTTCACACATACATTCTCGCAGATGATATTTCTTGGGCCCAAAAGTTCCTGGATGTGATAGTTTTTTCCTTTCTCTTTCCTCTTTTTCAAGTGTTTCTCTAGAAAAGAAATCTGTTAGTTACTATCAGAAGCCTGAATGGCAATACTTCCTCTCCCTCCCCTGGACGCAGTTTACCAGAAAGATGGATTTACTGTTCCTAGCTTCTACCTAGCTCATGACAATTTTGTCTGGGAAAAGTGGTATTTCCTTCTGTATTCCTGACAAAAGTTTGCAAGGATTGTATTATAATGTATGCTAGACTGTACATAAGCTTATTAAGTGTTACTTACTTGCTTTTCCCCAAGATTTTTTTTATGTGCTCATTTATCTCTTTGTTGGTTTTATCTTCCACGTCAACCAGAACTTGTTCTCCATTGTCTGTCAGAAAAATTGGCATTAGTGTAGCAAACAGTACCCCATCCGTGCCCCATGCTGTTTCACAGTAGCTGCAAAGACATCTTCTCTACTACAGTTAATGTACAATGTAATCTTTCAAGAGGAACAGCAAAATTGTCATCTAGCATGACTAAGACAGCAGGCACAAGTGTGAGGCAATGGAGGTGAGCACAGATAAAGCCCCTTTTCTAAACAAGCACCCTTCTTTCCCCTTTACAGCCTGAGAAGCAGGGGCCAAGAAACGTGGATGAAACCACGCTTCCTGCGTGAAAACCGTCGCTGCTCTGACACCTCCTGCAGACGATCCTGCCGCCAGGATCGGGGCGGCACAAGAGGGCCCGGGGCCGGAGCTCCTGGCGACACCTACCCAGGTAGAAGCGGAGGAAGGGCGAGGGGGTCATGTTCCTGAACAGCATGATCTGCACCCAGGGGTTCTTGTACTGGATCTGGGGGATGTTGAAAAACACAAACTTTCTGGAAAGAAGAAGAAAATCACACAAAGGCAAGCCGAGATGTCTCTGAGGAAGGCGCAGGCCGCTCCGCGCTC